AGCAACCAGACAGGTGCCTACCAAAGCCACTCAGAGAGCTACCTAGATACCACATTTCTCAGCCTACCTTTCAGTTAAGTACATAGCCTATGACTGCATTTGAAGTGATGGGATGTGAGCCATCTCCAGGGTGAGTCCATAGAAACCAGTTTCCTCTTTGACAGTGTGATATAGGCAACCACAGTGACTTAGGATCCTACAGTGACTTAAGACCCACAATGGAGAATTATTAGAAGGAAGGAGGAACCTAGGACCCTATGTCACTGCTTGGAGTTAAACTGCTCACCATCCAGGCTTCACATATGAAAGAAAGAAACTTCAACGTCCAGAGGCATTTACATTAGAAGTTTACCTGTTATAATGCCAATGAATCTCAAAAGCACAATCCTGCAAAAAGGACTAAAATGACATGGTTCAAATATGCAGTTTTCTAGTCAGTCTTGATTCTACTGTAAGTCTTAGTTGCCCACAGCAGTGCTGCCTAGTGGAATACCCCACAGTGATGAAAATGTTTCACAAGCTACACTATCCAATTTGATAGCCACTAGGCACGTGTGGCTATTGACTACCTAAAATGTGGCTAGTGTCAATGAGGATTTCAGTTCTAAATTTTATTTAATTTTAATTAATTTAAATAGCCACACATGACTATTGGGCATCAGAGAGCACAGTCTAGAAGCACAATTATTGAAGTGCATTTTATGTGTGTGAACCAGGCGATAAATAACAAGCAACAAAGCCACAGATAAAGCATATCTTCCTGGAATCTCAATTTTACCTAATGATAATATGAAACATGATCATATTGAAATAAACATGGGCTATATGACACAGTAGGATTTGCAGGCAAGAGAGTCTAAAGGGTAAACATGTAGCTTTTGGAGCCAGACCGCCTGAGTTCAAAGCCTGGTGTTGTCACTTAGTGGCTAAATGACTTGAGACAAACTGAGTAAGCTCCCCATGCTTCACCTTCTTCTTCTGTAAAACGGGTCCCATTATGGTCTGGATGCAGTCTGAGTGTGTCCCCTAAAGTGCACTTGTTGGAAACTTGGGCCTTAGTGTAGTGATGTTGAGAAGCAGTCGAAAGTTTAGAGTTGGGCCTACTGAGAGGTCTTTGGTGGCATGAGCTCTGGAGGAAATTAATGCAATTCCCACAGAGCCAAACAAGATTCTGTGAGAATGGGCTGTTGTAATGTCACAGCGATTTTAGATTTACCAGAGACACAGGAAATGAGGAGCGCTCAAAGAGGTGGAGGGAATCAAGCTTTTTTGTGTGGGCAGGTTCAGAAGAGTCAGTCACCCCAAACTCCAAGCTCCAAAGCTAGGAGGAATCAGGGTCCTTATACACTTGTTTGGGCGGGGGTGGGTTAGGAGTGAGCTGAGTGGCCTTTTACAAAAGCAGAAGTTTAGCAGTGATGCTATCTCAGGGTGCATTGTGGTTAAAAGGCAACAACATTATGTTTGGGGTGGGGCCGTAGGGCGAGACACTTGGATGTGGTTAACTCTCAGGGTCTAGGGCAGTGGTGAGAGCTGGCAAAAGCAGAAAAGAAAAAAAAATAGGGAGGGGCTCATATTACTTCCTGTATTACGGGAGCCCAGCACGTCCCCTAAATCCCTTTCCTGCATGCACTCCTGCCATTATGATATCATTGGCCATGAGGTCCTCTCAAGAGCCAAGGAGATGTTAGCATAATGCACTTAAACTGCTAGACTATGAGCTAACTAAACCTCTGTTCTTTATAAAGAACCCTGTCCCAGGCATTTTGTTACAGCAACAGAAAACAGACTAAGACAAGTACCTACTAAGGGATTGCTTTGAAGAATAAGTTAATACATACTAAAACACACACACACTTAAGATCAATGTGAGCAAATATTATCATCATCTTCAGCATTACCACACTATGTGCAACAATACAGAATAGTCATTAAAACAGAATCTGCACACAGATCCCTAGCAATTCCATCCAGGCCATTACACTTTGAAACTGCATATGCTTAACTTCTCTATCTTCAGTTTTTTTCCAGTTTAAGAAAAAATCATTTCTATTTCCTATTTCACAGCATTACTGTAAGAGTAAATTAAATTTAGTAGTTTTCTCAAATTTGATCTTAAGAATTACTTGAAACACTTACTAAAAACACATACTTACAGGCATGATCTCAGACGTATTGAATCAGGTCCCTATTTGAGACCCGAAGGAAACTTTTTATGAGGCATCTCCTAGGATTCTCAGAATCAGACAAGTACGGAGACCACCAGGATGACAGTGTCACCCCATACACACACACCCCTGCCAATCCTTATGTTGAAGTCCTATTCCAAACACAACAGTACTTGAACATGGGGCCTTAGAGATACTTAGGCTTAGATGATGGGATGGCAGCCTTATCAGGAGAGACACCTGCAATCTCTTTCCCCCATGTGAAGACTCAGCAAGATGATGGCCAGCTGCAAGCCGAGAAGAAAGCCTTCCCTAGGACTCAACTGTGCCAACAACCTGATCTGGAACTTCCAGGTTTAAGAACTATGAGAAGTAAATGTTTTTATTTAAGCCACTCATCTAATGTATTTTGTTATAACTGCCTGAACTAGAATAGAATATGCATCAGGACTAGTATAAGCCAAGAGAAACAGAAAGTATCTACCACACGGCAGCTATCCTATTTGTTTGAATAAATAGCCTCCAAAAGGCTCATGTGTTCAGAGGTGATTATATAATGAGGGCAATACACCTGACTTGCTGTGAGGAGTGGGGCCTGATTGGAGATGGGTCACTGGGGGCATGACCTAAAAGGGTGTATCCACCTCCTCGGCTCATCCTTTCACTCTCCTGGCCACCATAGCAGGAGCAGCTTTCCTCAGCTAGACCTTCCACCGTGCTATTTTTGCCTTGGAGCCAGCAGACTATGGGACTGAATCCTCTAAAAACTATGAGCCAAAACAAGCCATTTCTCCTTTAAGTTGTGGATTTGGGTATTTTGTCCCAGGGACAAAAAGTGACTAAGACATTCTCCTTACTCCAATAAAACTTCAGGCTCACAGAGAGCCAAGGGGAAAAAATTGTCCTTCTGTAATTCTGATTTGTCTCACTGGAAAAAAAAAAAGGATAGATACCTTTCTCAGTTCCTTCCAGTAAGCACAGCTGAATGTAAGTCAAAGGCAACCCCTTCTTTCTCTGACTATACCTTCCTTGATATGACGATACTATTTTGTAGTCAGTGAACTTTATTAACCATTGCTACCGTGCATGTTCTCAGTAGTTCAAAACAAACCAACCCTCTGTCTTAGGAAGACCCAGACCTCAATACTTGCATTCTCTCTTTCAAATGAAATTCACAATGTTGGTTCAAAACTTTATTCACCCTACTTCCACCATAAGAATATTTTCACTTCTCCATCTATTCAAATCTTACACATCTGCTAAGGTCTGCATGTTTTGTGCCCCTCCTCCCCAGATTTATATGCTGAAACCCTTAAGCCAAGGGTGATGGCATTAAAGAGATGATGAGATCCACCTTCTTGAATGGGATTAGTGTCCTTCTATAAGGGTTGCTCCAGAGAGCTACCTTGCCCATCTAGCACGTGAAGACACACCAAGAAGATCTCATATATGGGGCCAGGGATTTAGCTCAGTGGTTTCGCTGCCTGCCTCGAAAGCGCAAGGTCCCGAGTTCAATCCCTGGTACAAAAAAAAAAAAGATCTCATATATCTCATATATGAATCAGAAGACAGGCCCTCACCAGACACCAAATCTGCAGGCAGCTTGATCTTGAACTTCTCAGCCTCCAAAATTATGAGAAACAAATTTCTATAGTTTATAAGCCACCCAGATTACGATATTTTATTATAGCCATCCAAACAGACTAAGACCCTTCCTTCATGGCTTAAAATTAGTGATTCTCAATCGAGGAGATTTTACCCCATCCCCAAAGGCTATTTAATGACATGTGGAGACATTTTTGGATGGGACTGGAGGGGGAGCACCTACCAGATTCTAGTTGGCAGGGGGCTAGGGATGCTATTAAACAGCCTACAATGCACAGAACCTATATGGCCCAAAAAGTCAGCAATGCATTGACTGAGAAACATTAATTTAAATCAACCTCATGATGGATCCTTCCCTAGGTAACACTGATCTTTCTGTTTGGAGACCTGTAGTCTAGTTATGACAAAGTTGCACATTTCCTGAGTTCTTCCCTAGCATGTTATTTGCCTTCCTGACAACCCTGTAAGATTCTCTGTAGACAGAGCTAATTATCAATGAAAATATAAAAATACTTCTCTACTGTTCCATCTTCTTGTGTTTCTGTATAGCAACATGGCACACACACAATAAACAATTTACAGACAATATGCTGACCTCCTTTAAATCCACAGTGGCCTCGTATAAATCCAGCCAGAGCTGTATCTCCTTTTTGCACAAGCCAGGATACATCCTTCTCTCTCTCTCTGAAGCCTTCACTTATTCGTTCTTGTTCCCTCCCTCGTGCCACCATTATTAGACACACACACACAGGGGATTTCTAAAACCTATCACAACTGTTGCTCACATGTGCCACTCTTAGCTAGAACGCTCACCTACTCTGGATATAAAACAGCTCCTCATACAAAACAGGTGATCAATAAAGACCTGTTGAGAGTTGTGAAAACGACAGCAATAACAAACGTTAACACTTCAGGTTCCCGGGGATTCGTTGCCAGTACTAGTTTTCCTGTCAATCTACACAAGAAAAAAATCCGAGGCCCTGAGAGTTATCTGAACGGCCTGCCGCACCCCAGTTGAAACCAGATTCACTTTTATGGAGGATTCTAGGTCTCGCCCACACTCTCGGGACGGAGAGGGGCGAAGGCGTCTCGGCGAGCGGGAGGAACGGCCCGCTTCAGCAGCGCGGGGGAGCAGGGCTGGGCCGCCCCCCCCCCCCGCCCCGGGCGGACAGCCCGCAGCTCGGCGCCGCCCCGCCAGGCTCCCAGCGCCACCTACCGCTCCCGCCTCACCTGGACGCCCGGCCCGTCTCCGCCCGGCGCACCCGGACTGGGGTCGCCAGGACCCCCGCGGTTCTCCTCAGCCCGAGCCGGGGGCAGTGGCAGCGCGGGCTCTGCCGTCATCAGCCGGCGCTGCGAGGGATCACGTGGCGCCCGCCCCGCCCTGCCCGCCCCTCGGTCACGTGTCCAGGCAGGGAGGCAAGGCGGAAGCTGGTCCGGCCCGCTCTAGATCGGGGCCGGGGACTGGAGCTGATCCCGCGGGGAGGACGGTGGGCCCGGAGTGGGGCCCCGCGGGCGACAGCGGCCCTGCGCGTGCGCCGCAGACGCGGCCCAGCTGACAGGTGAGTCGCGTGCGGGCGCCCGACCTTCGCGTCGTCGTCCCCTTCCGTGACCCCACGGGGCTGCGCCAGCCGAGGCGCCAAGGCGCGGGCTGCGGCTTCTCGTGCCGTGGCTTCGCGTGCTGTCTGCTTGGAGGACCAGGGAAGGGGGACTTCGGGCCTCTCGGGACTGGGGCTGCTGCCCTGCTCTTCACACCATTTTGCACACTCCTTTGGCGCTTTAGGAGCTGTCTTCAGCTGCTTGACCCCCGTTTGATCCTTGCAAGTTTCGGGGAGCAATGATGAGTGGATGTTGTGGTTCGTCCATTTACTCCCCAGAAAACTGAGTGGCTACTGAGGGTTTCTACATGGGGCCTAGTTTGAATTCTAGTTTCATCATGGGCAAGTCTTTTCTCCTCCCTTGCACCTTAATCCCCTCACCTGTGATATAGTGGTGCCGAAGTCCATTGCATTTTGCAGAGGAAAAAAGTGCCCGGGTCTTGATTTCTCTGTGCTTGCACAGGAAAAGAAATGCACGGAATTAGTAATGAAACCGAGTCTCTTGATTCCAAGTATGTGGAGTTCCCCCAACTTAGACAAGGGATAGTGAGGGAGAGGGCGTTGAGGAAGAAGTGTTACTGCCTTTGCCCACAAGGACGGACACCTTCCTGAGTTGTCCTTCCACTCTTTACCAGAATTTGTGAATCAGACTAGAGCGATGAGGTTCATTTCAGAACTTTTATGGCAGAGATATGCTGCTTACGCTTATCTTGATCAACAACCATTGTATTTTGTGATAATGGATTTGTGGAGACCAAGAATTTCCTTATTTATGCAACTGAGGTTTTGTGAAAGGATAAAAATACTGTCCTCTGAATAGGGCCAAATTTTTTTGTTCTGTACTTATTTAGTGTGATGATTCCAGCTTCCTTCTTCAAAGCATGTTATCTTTTGAATAGGATCACTTTCCAAAGTGAAAATCACGGTGCCAGGCCAAATTCCTAAAAATGAAATTATTGTCGCTTTATAATTTGATGAAATCGGATGAGCTCTCTGGTTGCATTCCATATTGGAGCTCATTCAGTATAGACTATTTGGAGAAGTCTAGCCATCGAGAGTTTGCTTCATCCTTTGCACCAAGCAGCTCTGAAAGAATGATTTAATATTCTTCTACAGCATTTATTTGCCCCTTATTCTAATTTTTTAAGACTCAACTAAGAACACCTTGTAAAGCCCTCTACCTAGATCTTGGGTCTTTGCAACATGATTGAATATCTTTAATGACCATTACCTATTTGATTCTTTTCTTAAGGCCCAAATTTTCAGCCAACAGTGAGACTATTTTCCAAATTCTCCAGCAGAGCAGTACTTGTACAAGTTGCAGAAATTCAGCTTGCTGCATGATAAATATAACTAGTCAGGGTTAGGAGGCCTAGCACATAATAATGTAACTAATAGTGTAACAAAGGAATATAAGTGATTTCCTTCAGTTAATCTGGTTTTAGTATATTCAGTCTTCAAAAGCATAGCAAGAGATGCTTGCATTATTAGAGAAAACTAAAGTGTTCTTCAATAAGCAAGGCAGTGAGTTCATGTCACTGCAAGTGTATTAAGTGTAGCCCCCGTTTTGGTTTTACATTAAAAAAAGACCCACATGGATATTTTTTTTCAGAGAATTGTACATGAGGTAATCAAAGACTCATGACACTGTTTTTACTATTGGCAAACATGTTTGATTACTTTCTTACTCTCCTAATGTTCTTCTAAAGATTAGGCGCTGGGGATTTAGCTCAGTGGTTTCGCTGCCTGCTGCGCAAGCCCAAGGACCTGAGTTTGATCCCCGGTACCAAAAAAAGATACTATAGTATAATTCTTCAGTAAAGATTTAGGATTAACGTAAGAGATTGGCGCACAAAAATTTTGGGTTATGTCATCATCCCAGGCCTGAGCTTCCCTGAATGTGTACCTGCAGATGCTGTGTGTCTGTGATGGGGAAGAAGGCAGGTAATGCTTCACTTGATGCATTTTTTCCAGGTCCCCTTTGCCTACCTTGTCCTAGTGTCCAAAATCCAGTAGTAGTTATGGTACCTGTCAAAGCAACAGAGGCCATACATGGGGGGAAAAAGGAAAATGATTTATTCAGAGTTCTGAGTGAGTAGAGGGCCCATTTGCCTCAGATCCCCATCCTCTGTACCAGTGGGTTAGGGTCCTTTATAGTACGGAAGAGAGGGAGGGAGCACAGAGAGACCTTGCGTTGTCGTGTCCAGCCATCTTTGGTTTACTCCTCTTCCTTTGGAAGGGAGCCTGGGCTCCTGCCTCCTGAGCCATCTGCCTCTTTCTTCTGTCACATCTTTAGGCAGAGGGGACCTAATGTTGGTTATGTGCTCAGTGGGAAGAATCTGGAGAAATTGCTTAGCTCTAGAGGAAAAAGCTTATCTTTTAAAGCTCCATTTTGCATTTCCAGCTACAATTATACCTCCTAATCCTACCCTGGCCTTGTTTTCATGAGTCTGGAGTTTCATCCTGCTCAGGCTTTCTTGAGTTGTTTGGTTTAAGAGGACCTCCGTAGGTGACTTTTGTCAATTGTCCATTATTTCCCCCTTTTTCTCCCTTGTTTCCCAAAGAAGACCATATGAGTGCAGAAAATGAAATGGAATTACCTGAAATTGAGCCTGGTTTAAGAAGCAGGTATCACAGAGAAACAAAAAGGACTTTTAATGATTTATGCCTTAATGTGCGTTAATGGCTAGCCTTAGGAGAAGCGTTTAAGGCAGCTGTAGTGACTCCTCAGCAGTCTTTACTCTCAGACTCTGACCAGTCCACCTCTGCTCCTCTCTCTGTCTGTCCCTTGCTCACTCTGCTCCAGCCACACAGCCACCTTTCTCTCCCTGAAGTATGTCAGCACGTTTCTGCCCGAGGCCCTCTGCACTTAGGTGTAACCTCTGTGTGGCCCACCCTTCTCCAGAAGCGGCTCATTCTCTATTGCTGCACCGCTAACGTAAGACACCATGACTGCAGACAATGAGCAGTTATTATCTCACAGTTTCTATGATGAGGAATCAGGTATGGCTTAGCTGGTTGCCTTTGGCTCAAGGGGTCCTAGAAATTTGTAGTCAAGATGTGAGCAAGAGCAGTTGTCTTTGTTTGTTTGTTTGTTTGTTTGTTTGTTGAGACTTGGTCTCACTATGTAGTATGGGCTGGCCCTGAACTCCTGGCAATCTTCCTGCCTCAGCCTCCTGAGTATTGGGATTACAGGCATGTGCCACCATGCCCAGCACCCCCTTGTCATCTCTACTCAAATATCATCTCATCAAAGAGCTGTCCCAAACTACTCTATGTAAACTAAAACATGTTGCATCCTATAGTCTGATTTTTCTTCACATAGTATATAGACTTCACGGCAGCGGGGACTTAGTTCTAATTAGTGCTGTATCCTCAGATCCTAAAATAGTGCTTTGTGTATAGTAGGCATAGGGTACATATTTGTTGAATGAATGAATTTATATAATTAGAAATGCTCTCACCAAATAATGCAGAGCCCAGTTAGCAGTGGGTAAACCATAAAAGCGATTCATTTAATAAGGATTACAAGAATAGACGGTTTCACAGTTGAATCAGCAAGTCAGTGACATTGATAAGAATTTAGATTTTTTTCTATCTATCCACACCAATCTGCAAGTTCTTGTCTTATTTCCTGGGCTTCTCATCTCACAATGAGGATCTTGAAAAAAGCATTGTTAAAGGTTGTTCTCTCACCCTCACTTCTAGTAGTTCTAAGGACGTAGTTACCTGTTCCCAAAGCAAAAACAAAGCAGCACAATTCTAATAAGGGAAATTTAATAATCAGTGGAAGCAGCTGAAAAATTGGAGGTAAATGCACAGGGAAATGGAAGACTACAATACAGCAGTGCCTGCACTGCTGTCATTGCACAAAAGCAGTAACTGTATCTCTTACCATGATGGGAAATGAAGTATCATAGAAACAGTGTTGTCACTGCAGAATGGAATCTGAGCTTCATAACAGACTACCCCGAGACTTTCTTGCCCAAAACAACAACCTTTTATTATTGTTATTTATCGTGATTCTGTGGCACAGGGCCCAGAGGGCACGACTTGTCCAAGGTAGCCTCTTCACTTGCCTGTCCAGCACATCCACTGGAAGGCCCGGATCACTGGGGATAGAGCGGAACTATGGAGCAGGTCACATGGCAGCACCCAGTGGTCACTGCCTGCAGGCTTCCGTCTTCTCTTCCACCTCCTGTCAAGACATCTCCCTCCTCACTGTGCCCCTCCACTCTGTAACCCCTGTGCTCTCTCTCACAGGATGGGTAGACACTACACGGCAGCAAGGAAAGCCATGCTGCCAGACTTGATCTGGGACTTCGGGGGCGGGGGCGGGGGCGCGGGGAGGGCTATGCCTCCCCGATGCACCTTGGAGTATGAACTGACGAGAAGGCCAGGGATTGCTGGGCACTGTCTGTGGAATCCACTTATCGCAGGGCAACCAGAGAATGGGTTGGGAAGATGACCTGTACAGGGGAGGCACATGGCCTGACTGAGGAGTGTGCTGGAGTCCGGGGGAAATGGAAGTCAGCTGATAAAACAGATGACCTACTTCCAGAATCTGCTGAAACCTTTTTAAGCCCGAGAAGTTAGTGTTGTTGAGTCTCTTGCTCCCCTGTCTCGCCGCCCTGGGCCCTCTCCCCTCTCCCTCACTGCTGCTGTCTTCACATTGGCGTGGAGGACCCCAGGCTGAGGGGAAAGCATGCCATGAAGCAGTGTCGGTGGCTTGTCTCTGAAAT